TAGGCCATGGAGGAATGGCGCTGTGTGGTGAAAGCAAAGCAAAACCAACTCCACGGTGAAAATCTTCCCACAAGAGTAGATGGCGTCACAGAGCAGTCCATGTTGATGCGTACCTGGTCAATAACGGACAGGCCGATCGGCTGAACACCAACAGCTGTTCAACCCCTTCTCCCGCCCCCAATCCTCTCTCTGCAGGGAGCAAATACCACTCTGTCTTAGTGATGCATTTTTTTAGAGTCAGACATACATTTTTTTTTTAACAGGCAGAGTGGACAGTGAGAGAGAGAGACAGGGAGAAAGGTCTTCCTTTTGCAGTTGGTTCACCCCCCAGTGGCCGCTGCGGCCTGCGCGCTGCGGCCGGTGCACTGCGCTGATCCGAAGCCAGGAGCCAGGTGCTTCTCCTGGTCTCCCATGTGGGTGCAGGGCCCAAGCACTTGGGCCATCCTCCACTGCACTCCCTGGCCACAGCAGAGAGCTGGACTGAAAGAGGAGCGACCGGGACAGAATCCGGTGACCTGACTGGGACTAGAACCCGGGGTGCCGGCGCCGCAGGCGGAGGATTAGCCTATTGAGCCGAGGCGCCGGCCAGACATACCTTTGAGTAACATATTTCCAGGCACTTACAGATGTATTTTGATGACGTACGTGGTATGCGTTTTTAAGTTCGTTCTCTAACTGCTTGTGCGTAGTATATGGAGATCTATCTACTGTTGCATCCTGGATTTGAATCCAGTGGTTTGACTAAATTCACTAATTTATTGTAATTGTTTATGGGATATCCTTTTGGGTTTTATATGAAGAAAGTTATGCTGCCTGTGAATCTTCTTTGTTTTCTAATTTTCTCCTCTCAAGTCTTTCTGCCTTTATGTCTTTCTCTTGTCTGGCTGGGCTGGGCGGAAGTGGCAGTGAAGGCAGGGACTCCTGCTGCTCTCAGTCTCTGCATAAAAGTGTTCAGCACTTCACCACTATATGACAATGACGTGAAACTAAATTTGCATACATAGAATAAACTCAACGTGCTCGAGAGACATTATCCTTTTTATATGTCTTTGGATTTGATTTGCTAACATTTTGTTCAGGGTTTTTACCTCTGTGTTCATAGGAAAGATTATTTTTTTTAAATGTCCATGTCAGGTTTTATATCAAGCTTATGCCAATCTTGCAAAATAAGAAGAGAATTGATTCTCCTTTTGTCATTCTCTGGAAGGCTTATTTCTTCCTTAAATGCTTTGAAGTATTAACTGGTGAAGCTACCTGAACCTGCTATTTTCTTTGTGGGAAGTTCTTTGATTATTTCTTTAAATTACAACACTTCCATTTTCTACTCCTTCTTGTATCCACACTGATATACTGTGTTTTTTAAATAACTGATTCAGTGTACTTAAATGTTGATGGTTACTGATGCAGAGCTTCTCGCTGGTAAGCTGTACCTTTGCTTTTTTGCCCTTGATCATTTAGGGATCTAAATCAATTTTATTGATCGTTTAGAGATTTAATCAATTTTATTAGTCAGACCAAAGAACCAGCTTTTTCTTTTATTGTTTTCTCTACTGCACACTCACTTCTAATTCACTCCTGGTTCTTTTCCTTTCTTATCCTTCTTTTGGGTATAGTTTGCTCCTTCTTCCTAACTTTTTTTTTTTTGAGACAGACAAAAAGAACCCCAATCTGCTGGTTCACTCCCCAGATGCTTGCAATGGCCAGGGCTACACTGAGACCAAAGCCAGGAACTGGGTCTCCTGTGGGTGGCAGGAATGTATTTATTTGAGCCATCACCACTGTCTCCTGGGGTCTATCTATGTTAGCAAAAACTGGAGTCAGGAGTTGCAGCCGAGATTGAACTAAGATACTCCCGTATGAAACATAAGCATCTTAACTGATAGGTTTAATGCCTACTCCACCATTCCTAATTGCTGTTGTTTTTAGATTTACTTATTTATTTGAAAGACAGAGTTACAGAGAGTCACACACACACACACACACACACACATCTTCCATCTGCTAGTTTACTCTCCAAAATGGCTCTAAAGGCTAGGACTGGAGTGGGCCAAAATCAGGATCCAGGAGTTTATTCTGGGTCTCCCACCAGGGTAGCAGGGCCCCAAGTACTTGGGCCATCTTCTCTTACTTTCCCAGGCAAATTAGCAGGGAGCTGGATTGGAAGTGGAGCAGCCGGGACTCAAAGTGGCACTCATATGGAATGCCAGTGTCGCAGGCAGTGCCTTAATCCACTGCGCCACAACACCAGCCCCCATTCCTAACATTTTAAGATGGACATTTAGATCATTGATTTTCTCCACCTCTTTTGTTGTACCTGAGCAAGTGCAAACAGAGGAGCACCACCCATTGATAAAATTTGATGGTCCTTTATTACCAGCAGTGGAGAGCAGGCTCATGCCCTAAAGAACTCTTTTTTTTTTCTTTGACAGCCAGAGTGGACAGTAAGAGAGAGACAGACAGAGAGAAAGGTCTTCCTTTTCCTTGGTTCACCCTCCAATGGCCGCTGCGGCCTGCACACCGCGCTGATCTGAAGCCAGGAACCAGGTGCAGGGCCCAAGCACTTGGGCCATCCTCCACTGCCTTCCTGGGCCACAGCAGAGAGCTGGACTGGAAGAGGAGTGACCGGGACAGATTCCGGTGCCCCGACCGGGACTAGAACCCAGTGTACCGGCACCGCAGGCAGAGGATTAGCCTACTGAGCCGCAGCGCCGGCCCTAAAGAACACTTGACCTCGAAGCTCAAAGCAATAGGGTTTATAAAGACAAGAACCACAAGGAAGGGAGGGGGAATACGTGGTTACTAGGGTCAAGCTGACCTAAGGCCTATGGGAAACCAATATAATTGCAATCTTGATAATAGACAAATTGCAATCTTAACCTTCATCCAGGTGCAGCTTATCTGTTTTAAGCTTGAGTGATCATAGTAGGAAACTTCTGTATTCTGCCAAGTGGGATGCAGTGGACTGTTATTGTCTTAGTTTTAGACTATAGTTAGTTTTAGATCATAATCTCACGTTTTGGGGGGGGGGTGCTTTTTCAAGATGGAGTCTCGGGTGCTCTAAAATAGAATCCCTACTGTCAAGGTGTCACTTCACTTTCTTTTCTTTCTTTCTTTCTTTCTTTTTTCTTTTAAGATTTACTTATTTACTTGAAAGTCAGAGTTACAGAGAGAGAGTAGGAGAGGCAGAGAGAGAGAAAGGTCTTCCATCTGCTGGTTCATTCCCCAGTTGGCCACAACAGCGGGAGCTGTGCTGATCCAAAGCCAGGAGCCAAAAACCTCCTCTGGGTCTCCCATGTGGGTGCAGGGGCCCAAGGACTTGGGGCATCTTCTGCTGCTTTCCCAGGCCATGGTAGGGAGCTGGATCAGAAGTGGAGCAGCCAGGACTCGAATCAGCGCCCATATGGGATGCCAACACTGCAGGCGGCAGCTTTACCCGCTATGCCACTGTGCTGGTCCCTCTTTTCTTTCTTTTTAAGGATGCTGTGATTCTCTTTTTTTTTTTTTTTTTAAAGATTGATGTATTTATTTGAGTGGCAGAGTTAGAGAGAGAGAGAGAGAGAGAGAGAGAGAGGTCTTCCATCCACTGGTTCACTCCCCCAAGTGGCTGCAATGGCCAGACTGGGCTGATCCAAAGCCAGGAGTCAGGAGCTTCTTCTGAGTCTCCCATGTGGGTGCAGGGGCCCAAGGACTTGAGCCATCCTCCACTGCTTTCCCAAGTCATAAGCTGGGAGCTGGATCAGAAGTGGAGCTGCCAGGATTTGAGCCGGCTCCCATATGGGATGCTGGGGCTGCAGGCAGAGGCTTAACCTACTATGCCACAGTGCTGGTCCCAAGTTCTTTGTTTTCTAAAATACACAGTTAAGGCTGCCAACAGTCCTTCAAGCCCAGCTTCAGTTGTGCACTAAAAGTTTGTATGTGTAGCATTTTCACTATAATTCTGTTAGCAATATTCTCTAATTTCAGTTGTGATTTCTCTCTCTCTCTCTCTCTTTTTTTTTTTTTTTTTTTTTTTTTTTTTTTTTGACAGGCAGAGTGGACAGTGAGAGAGAGAGACAGAAAGGTCTTCCTTTGCCGTTGGTTCACCCTCCAATGGCCGCCGCGGCCAGCGCGCTGCGGCCGGCGCACCGCGCTGATCCGATGGCAGGAGCCAGGAGCCAGGTGCTTTTCCTGGTCTCCCATGGGGTGCAGGGCCCAAGCACCTGGGCCATCCTCCACTGCACTCCCTGGCCACAGCAGAGAGCTGGCCTGGAAGAGGGGCAACCGGGACAGAATCCGGCGCCCCGACCGGGACTAGAACCCGGTATGCCGGCGCCGCTAGGCGGAGGATTAGCCTAGTGAGCCACGGCGCCGGCCCAATGATTTCTCTTTTTCATCCATGTGCATTTACAATTTTTTGCCCAGTTTTCTTAAAAAAATTATTTACTTACCTGAGAAGCTGAGCATGAGAGACAGAGAGAGAAACAGAGAGAGAGAGAGAGAGAGAGGGAGAATGAATCTTCCATGCTCTGGTTCACTCTCCAAATGGCCACAACAGCCAGGGCTGGGTTAGGCTGAAGCCAAGAGCCTGATTCTCCATCCCAGTCTCCTACACGGGTGGCAGGAGCCCAAGTACTTGGGCTCTTCTCTGTTGTCTTCCCAGGGGCATTAGCAAGAACCTGGATCAGAAGAGCAGGCAGGACTCATGCTGGCACTCTGATATGAAATGCCAGTGTTGCAAGCGGTGACCTAACCTACTGTGCCTAGTTTTCAAACTTCAGAGTATTTTAAAAAATATCTTTCAAGATTCATTTCCGTTTACTTCCACGATCATCAGGGAATATATTATTTCGATCACTGAATGAGTTGAGTCTTCTTTTATGGGCCAACATATGCTCAGTATTAGTTTCATGTGCACTTGGAGAGAGGCAGTTTCTGAAATCTGGGGCTGGGATCTTCTTCCCATGTCCATTAATCTGAAATCTGTTAATCTTGTTTTTGAAATCTTTCACATCTGTCCTTATTTATCTACTGTTTCTAAATGTTCCCGAGAGGGATGTGTCGAAACACCCACTGTGGTCATAGATTTATCTCCTTTTCCTTTCATTTCTGCCAGCTTTGCTTTTTGGAAGCTGTCTGGTAAGTTGCATATAAATTTAGAATGTGTATCTTCTGGTAGAGTGATGCTTTCATTGTCATTTAATCTCTGCTTTTTTTTTTTTATCTGATCATGCTTTTTGTCTCAAAGTCTAACATCTTTATTCCTAATTTAAAACTAAAAGTCTTTATCACAAATGAGTACTGAGTTTTGGCAAATGCTCTTTCTGCATCTATGAAGATGATCATATATTTATTTTTCCTTATTCTATTAAGGTGGTGCATTGGTTTCCTAGTGCTGCCGTAACAAACCAACATAGACTTAAGACAGCACATTTCTGTAGTTCTAAAGCGCAAAATGGGCTCCAGCCAATTTGTCAGCAGGGCTGTGCTTCCCTGAGGCTCTGGGGAGACTCTGCAGGGTGTGTGTCCTTTCCAGCTCCGGAGACGTGCTGCCTTCCTTGGCTCGTGCTTCAGAGCCACCAGTGGTCTTCCTCAGGTCACAGCACTCAGACACACTCTTCTGCCTCCTCCCACATTTGCAATCCCTGTAATAACATGCGTTCAATTTGCGACTCGGATTTCATTCTGCTGTGTGGGATGGCCACAGGGCCCTGGCTTAGGACCCAAACATTTGTGGAGGGTGATCTTGCCACCTACCACGTGTGTGGTCAACTCTGTTATGACATCTTATGCTTTTTATTTAGGGGTGCGTTTGACTCGCTAATATTTGCTAATGAGTTTTACAAACGTCTTTGGCTGCAGTGTCTTTGCCAGGTTTTGCTCTCAGGATTGTACCTAATAGAAAATGTTGGAAAGGATTTGTTTCTATTTTCTGAAAGGATGTAGTGAGGGTTGGTATTATTTCTTGTTTGGTTGTGTCTTTGCTTTTAAGCAGCTTTATTGAGATATAAATCACAGACCATAAAACGCACTCTGTGTAATTTACACTGCAATAATTTTTACAGAGCTTTCGTGTTGCACAAACACAACCAGGATCCGGCTTCAGAACATTCCCCTTACCCAGCAGGCCTCCTCACACCCCGCCCCAGCCCCAGGCAACCATGGCCCGAGAGATTCGCCTTTCTAGATTTTGAATATATGGGATTACAAACTGTGTGATCTTGTGGCTTCTTCCATCAGTGTGCTCTGGGGCCACCTTTGCTGTAGTGCTTCTGTGGACACTCACATAACGTCTTTATAGCAGCATAAATACATGGATATATGTTTTTATTTATATAGTTACCTAGGAGTGCAATTGTGGCATTGAATATATAAATGACTCGTCCCTTTCAAAGAAGAAGATAAACAACCCAGTTAAAAATTATACAGACGTTTTGCATACACAAATGAACTTCAAAAAGTTTATGAAAAAGAGAATTGAAAAATGAGTTTATTTTGATGCAAAAACATTTGAAATCCATGCGTACTAAGGGCCTTCCAAAAGTTCATGGGAAATATATATTAGGAAATAAAAAACTATTCATGGATTTCAAAGTCTTTTGCACCACAATAAACATTTTTTTAAATGATTTATTTATTTATTTGAACATTGGAGTTACACAGAGAGAGAAGGAGAGGCAGAGGCGGGGAGAGAGAGAGAGAGAGAGAGAGAGAGAGAGGTCTTCCACCTGCTGGTTCACTGCCTGATTGGCTACAACTGCTGGAGTTAGTTGTGCTGATCCGATCCCAGGAGCCAGGAGCCTCCTCCAGGTCTCCCACATGGGTGCAGGGCCCAAGGACTTGGGCCATCCTCCACTGCCCTCCCAGGCTACAGCAGAGAGCTGGATTAAAAATAGAGCAGTCAGGACTCGAACCAGCGCCCATATGGGATGCCGGCACTGCAGGCAGCGGCTTTACCCACTACGCCACAATGCCGGCCCCAATAAACATGTTTTAATTCCATCTTCCATGAATTCTTCAAAGTACCTTTGCACAGTTCAACCAAAGAAAATGTAGCCCGTGAATGGTTAACGGGCACAGGAAACGGAGCACAGCGTCTTTCCTCGTAGGAAAACACAAGCTAACACTGCGATGAACTACACTACACCCTCTAGAATGGCTCCAATCTAAGGGGCTGGTGACTCCCAAGCATTGGTGAAGATGGGGTTAAACCGGAACCCTCAAATTTTGCATGTGGGAACTTAAAATGGTTTAGCCACTTTGGAAAACAGCTTGGTATTTTTTAAAGTTAAACATAAACCAGCCATTCAACACATCATTCCAGGAAAAGTGCAAAAAAATCAAATCTGTGTGAACCAAATCTACCCACAGGCCTTCTAAGTAGCTCTGCCCGGTGCTCATTCGCTGCTTGGAAATCTTATATATAGTGTTGCCATAGATACCTCTTACAATACGTGGAATCGTGCTAGGGGCGTGTGGATGTGCGCACACACAGTTGTGAAGTGCAACTCCCATCACCAGGATCACAGTGGCTTCCGGAGACAGGAGCGAGGGTGCGGGATTTGAAAAGGCCACAATGAAGTTTGCTGTCTTCATTTCTTCTATGTCAGCTTCGAAGCACAGATGATGCAATATTGACATTTGCTAAGGCCAAGGGGGGCAAAAAATCTTCCATGACACTCAAAAAAAAAAAAAAAAAAAAGAATCTTTGCCTAAGCCAGAGTCACAAAGATCTTCTCCTGTGGGCTTTTTTCTTCTAGATGTTTCATAGTTTTAGCTCCTAACAGAAGCCACTCTCTGGCAAAATGAACCCAGTTCCCCAGCGAGAACTGAACAAACAGCTGGCAGGTGGCCAGCTTCTGTCCTCTCTGTCCCCGGGAGCCCTGCAGATGGGAAGGTGACCCCTCCTCCTGCTTTTCCCCAGCCCCTGTCTCCCGGCCTTGCCTGTAGCAATGGATCATGGCCCCTGCTGTTTGTTTCTTCCCCACAACACTTTTTGGGCAGAGGTTGTAAACCTTTTGTTTAGCCTGCACAATGTTCAAAAACCAGGCCAAAAATTAATCAGTGCCAACAATGAAATATCAGGAAAAACACATGTCAAGTCTGACCGACTGGTTTTTCGGAGAGCCCCGAGCACACCCCCACAGGGAGGTGAGCTGCAGCTCCCCGCTGGGGATGGGCTGGCTATCCAGGTCAGCACCCCCCACCCCGCCCCTGCGATTGTCCTCCAATCCTGAAGCCAAGGTCAGCTGCCCCGGGCCCTCTGTGGTGGCTGATGACACCTGCAGGGCTCCATCTGCTGCTTTCCCACTCTCTTCCCCATCCAGCCTCTCCCTGGCTTGGCACAGCCCTGACGAGTTGGGATCAAAGTCCCTGTTCTGCTTAGGAAGAGGCTGCCGTGGGCACACAGCTGCCAAGTGAGGAACCGCCTGGGAGGCCCCACCTCTCTGCTCTCCCGCTCCTGTCACTGGGCCCCTTCCTTCACCCGAGCACGGGGAAGGGGCATTCTGTCCACACTGGCCCTGCGGACATGTGAGGGTCCAGGTGTGCTCCTGGTCCCGCCCCGCACCCTTGCCAGAGGCTCTGTAGCGAGAAGCCGGCCTCTGTCACCTGTGCTGGCATCTGCAGGGAATAGCGGGGGCTCATTTTCCCCAGATGAGGGTTTGCTTGATAAATGTTTAATGAGCAAATTAATAATTGGATGAACTGTCATCTGGTAGTCCACGTACGTCTAAGCACTAATCAAAACAGATTTTAACTGCAGAAATATTTTAGCTGAGGCATAAAGGAAGAGGAAGAGGGCTGGCCTGGGATGCGCCAGAACCCACACCAGTCCCTCACTACCCGGATCCTCTCATCAGCAGTGGAAATAACACCTGCCCCTGGGGGGTAAACCGGAGAGAACTGAACCAGGTCTACACGGGACCAAATTCATTACATTTCCTCTTCAGTCTGTAGTTATGATGCTAAAAATAAAATGCAAGTCCTAGGAAGGACACTAAATGAAACATCGAGTACACTCTTGCTGAAGGATGTTAATGAAAATCCTGAACCCTCTTGCACAGCCTTCACTTTCGCCACGAGGATGTATGTTTGGAACAGCGGCACACGACTCCTGCTGGAGGTGTGTGTGCAGGCGATGTCTTGAAATCCTTCAGGACCCACGTGATGAGAAGCTTTGCAAAATAGTGTTCTCTTCGCAATGATCATCTGGAAATCACAACAGTGCAGATTGTATACAAAGCCTCTACTTGAGGTTCCCTGTCTTTCATTGGCCAATTTATTGTTGGAATTCTTAGTAACACCATGGATAGATTTTTGAGCCCAAATATTTTTAGATCCAGTTTTTAAAAGCAGTGAGAAATACTCATTTGGCAAGCTGTTTGTTGTCAGAACAGGAATGCTGGAGTTGAGTTGAAATTATTGCCGATTTGCTTACTAATTATCTGAAATATTAACAAGCCGTGTGGGCTCTTGCCACGAATTCAGAGAATTCTAAACACTGGCACACAGACCAGGCAGCATGATAGGTTTTAAGCTTTTTATTCAGAGAGAAATGCATAGGAGAGGGAGGGTGTTCGTCTGACCTAAGGGAGAAGGGAAAGTCTGGACACTCCGTTGGCATCCACACCACAAGCAGACAGCAGGCCGAAAGCCATGTGCAGGTGCAGGGCAACGGGGTCCATAATGGGGAAAGAGGGCTTTAATCCACGTGTTTCAGGCCTTTAATCCACTTCCAAAGGGGAGTAGTTAACTAGCCTGACTGGCATGTGGACACACAGGTGTTGCCGGGTAAGGGCATACACAGGGGGCGTGGTCTCCAGCTCACAAACCTGATCAATTCTATCCCATCTTCCTGCCTACATCAGAATGAGTGGGGTCAGAGGGTTCCAGCTTCAGACCGAATCCTCGGATGCACTGCTAGGAAATACTTCTGGTCTTCTTTGTGGTATTTGGTTGTAGGTCAAGGACCCAAAATATCAGAGTACTTTAGAAATCAGTGGGAAAATGGAATTAAAAGGTCCGTTGGGGCTTTTTTTCTGGCTCAGCAGTTGAGACACTGCCTGGGGCACCCACAGCTCATGTTCGAGTTCCTGGTTTTGGAGTTCTGGCTCTGCTGCCCTTTCTAGCTTCCTGTACACCCTGGGAGCAGCAGAAAATGGCTCAAGTAGTAGGGGACCTGCCACCCACGTAGGAGTCCCAGATGCAGTCCCAGGCTCCTGGCTTTGGCCTGCTCCAGCCCTGAATTTTTGTAGGCATTTGGGCAGTGAACCAGCTGAAAGATCTCTCTCCGTCTCTCCATCTGTCTGCCTCTTTCTGTCTCTCTGCCTTTTAAATGAAAATAAGCACGAATTTTAACAACAAATAAATGATATGTTAATTTAGGCACAATCAACTTTTGAAATCCATGCATAAATGTTTCCTAAATGCATTCCCATGAACGTTTTGAAGATCCTTTATATCAGCCCCAGGATTCCTGAGACATTCAGAAGCCTTTAGGTTGTTCTGTGAAGACAGATTTGGGGCTGCCGCCTAGAGAGTGGCACCCCCTGAGCTGAGCTCCACACGGGCTCCCTGCTTTCCCCCATTTCTCCCCTGAACCCAGTCCCCAGTCCCCAGCCCCTGGGGCTGTGCACAGTTGTCTTACAGCAGCTCCTCAGACAGTGCTATGGGCCCTGTCCCCGGTGGACAGCTCCGTTGTAGGGGGTGTCCGGGCGGCCAAGCCTCTTGTTGGTCACATGCCACCACCTCCACATGCTGTGCGTCACTCATTGGGCTTATGATCCACAGAGACTGTGGGCTGCCAGGTCAGACCTCGCTTCCCTCCAAGGAGCCCCGAGGAGTCTGGCCTTGACCTGACTGCCCCCGCTGAGAACTCCGGGACCTCAGGGCCGCCTACAACCCAGGCGTCGTGGGAGATGTGCTGGATGCCCAAAGGTATATCATAAATTTAAAAAAGAAAAATGTTCCTTGCATGGTTAAGTCAATGTATGACCTTAGATTGATGTAGGCAGGCAGATAGGATAAAATGGGTTAGGCTTGTGAGCTGGAAGACCACGCCTTTCCCACACTCCCTGTATGATCTCATGCACCTACCTGACCCCATCTGTATGCGCACCTGCCAATCAGACTATATAACCACACCCCTTTGGAAGTAGATAAAAGGCCCAGCCCTTTTTTCCCTTTTTCTCTTATTTTCCCTCGATGCACTGGATCCCCTGGTTGCCCCACGCCTTTGGGGCACGTGGCCTTCGGGCTTCCTCCACTCTCTGTCTTCACTTTGCTACCTGAGCCAGTGATAAGCTGCTAGTAGCTGCTCATAACCAAAAGCTCGCTGCACGTGGCTCCTGGCCTGCTCTATGCTTGGTACGGCCCCCGCCCAATTTCCAGACTTCCCTTTCTCCTTACATAGAGCCCTCACTCTCCTATGCATCTCTCATCGCGCCGTCTGGTCTATTTGAGCCAATATTCAGAATTGTTCTCTGAATGCATGGCAAGAACCCACACAGCTTGTTAATTTCAGAAATATTAATAAGCAGATTGGTTTCAAGATCATTTAGAAACTAAGTTCCCAGCACCCTAGCTGACACCAAGCCCAAGGACTGGCTCCGCAAACAAGTGAGTGTTTGCAGGGAGGAGAGGGACTGGGGTGAAGTGAAACAAACGAGAGGCGCCGGTTCTTAGCCTGGAGTCTACCCACATCCCTCAAGGGGTCCCAGGACACAAGTCAGGGCCCCATGGACTCGGACGGGGAAAATCAACGTCCTTCTTTTCAATAACTTCTAGCTGAAATTGAGCTTTCCTTCCATTAGGAATATAAGGCATGAGCTAAGTCTGTTAGCCACACCTGTGACTTTGTTCCAGTGGAGATCACAGGTATTTTCTTAACTCAGTCTAATTGGTGCAGACACTTCCAAATATTATTTTCATGCCTCACTGCTTCAAAGGCGCAGTAGGTGATAGACCTGACATTCAGTCTTATTATTTAATGAGTTAATAAAAAACACATACACCGCTCCAGCACACATGTTTTTCTCTTAGGTTTTGATAACTGCATGTCAGCATGATTAATTTTCCCTTTAACGCTGTCCATTCTGTTCTACACCATCAGTCATTACTCCGAGGGGTCCTCAAGCTCCACCACCCTGCCAGAGGAGCCCCTGGCTCACAAAAGGTTAAGGACCCCTGAGCCCCTCTGGCCACTGGGAAGCAGTAGAGGTAACATGGCGCAATCCAGGCCAGAGGGAGGAAGGCCCCTCCTGTTCTAGCCAGGGCTGCCCTGGCCTTGGGCAATATGCTGTGCACCACTCTCGCCTCTGCTTTGCTGTCCCCTTACAAAAAAGGAAGGAAGGAAGGAAGGAAGGAAGGAAGGAAGGAAGGAAGGAAGGAAGGAAGGAAGGAAGGAAGGAAGGAAGGAGAAAGAGAAAGGGGAAAGGGAAGGGAAGGGAAGGGAAGGGAAGGGAAGGGAAGGGAAGGGAAGGGAAGGGAAAAGGAAGAAGGAAGGAAGAAAAAGAAAAATTTACTAACACGTCACACATTTCAGATCTCCAGAGAACAGGTTGAGGACTGTAGATATGAGGGATGACTTAACCTGGGAAGACTGAGCTGGCTTGAGATTGTTAAATATTGTGTGAGTGTTCAACCCTCTGGAGCAAAACAAACAAATCCAGTGATGCCTGCTTAGTCACTCTGTCAGCTGTAACTCACTCAGGAGACATCGGGTTGAACACATCAGCCATCTAGAACCTTCCCCATCCCTTGCTCATGGTGCAGCAGTTACCAGCAAGAATAGGCAGCTTCTGGGGTCCCATACCAGGCTCAGGGGCCCATCAGCCAGGAGAGAGGGTCCCTGGGCCAGCCACGGCTCCTTCAGGCTATGTGGGGACATGGGTATTTGGAGCACATGCTCCTGTCGAGAGTAAGGGCCAAGCTCCATCAGAGCCAAAGAGACTAACTGATAGATGACACCCCTTGCCTTGCTGGTTAGGCTGAGCATCTGAAATGCATGTCCAAGTCTTCAGAATGATTCAGGGCCTTAGGGTTGGTTTATTTTCTGCTAAATATCAAGGGCAAGGAGAATTCAAGAGCTAGCCCACCAAGAGTCCCCATTGCTTCCCAAAGCTGGTGCCACAGGAGTCAGGACAGAAAAGCACAGGCGGACTAGTGCCTAAGGTCATCTTAGTGGATCTGTTTGGCATCACCATACAAATGCAGCAGTCTTGGTAATAATAATAGACAGAATTAAAAAGGAGGGAATGTCCCACATGGGAAGAAGTCCACACAGCAGACTCATAGAATGACAATCACTTTAAGTAACACTCTGACCTTAGAATCAGTCCTTAAAGCATTCAAATGTGGCTGAAAAGCCCATGAGAGCATTTCAGACATGGAAAGCCAAGACACTGTAGCAAAAATTATCCTACATGAAGGATCTCTGTGAGTGAAACCCCAGTGAAAAGAAGGGGCCATCAAAGAAGGATGTACTTTTCTCTGAAGGGAGGAGAGAACTTCTACTTGCTTATGGCCCTGTCTAAATACCGACGGAGTTTGTGGATGAAAAAGACTTCCATAGCCTTAGCAGCTCATGTCAAAAGCCTCGGGTGATCACTGATGTCATACCTAAGAGTGTTAATTGTTAAATTAACAACAGGAGTCACTGTGCACTTATTCCCTGTGCAGGACCTCTGTCCTTAATGAGTTGTATTATGAGAATTAATGGTAAAACTTGTCATCAAATAGTACTTTATACTTTGTGTGTGTAGGTGCAAACTGTTGAAATCTTTACTTAGTATAGAGTTGGTCTTCTGTATATAAAGTTAATTAAAATGAATCTTGATGAAGCATGGGAAGGGAGAGAGAGTAGGAAATGGGACAGGAGTGGGGGTGGGAGGGTCGGTATGAGGAGAACCACTATATTCCTAAAGTTGTGCCTATAAAATGTGCATTCATGAAATAAAATCTTTAAACAAACAAAAAAGAAACAAGGCAGGCTTAGGTAATGTGCCTGGCTTTTCTTTCTCTACTTTGCTCAGTCATACTTGTGGAGATGTTGAGGGAGTTGCCAAGCAGTCATAGGGCACAAGCCCAACTTGCCCACACCAGTGTGCGTCCTCCTCTAACCCCTGAGGTTAGAGCCAGCGTCCCTGCAGTCCTTCCATGCAAGGCACCTAGCCAAGAAAGTGCCAGTCCTCAGTAGCCCTGGAAACTGCTCCTCTAGCAAGCAGCAGGGCCCAGACCACGTGCCCACTGCAGTGTGCCAGACACTGGTCAACCCCTCACGGTGCCAATGCAATCATTCCCAGATGGAGCTTGATCTCCATTGTCTCAAAGAGGGGAATCGCTACAGGAAAAGAATGTGAAACTCATCCAAATCAACATGGAGTCCCTTGTGTCAACCCTACCAAAAAATAGTAAGTAAAGCAAGCCGGGAGGTTACCAAGGGAAGGTTCTTCCACATATTTGTCTGCTAGTAACCATCCCAAAAGACTCTTCCAGAACTGGGAGCTTCCCAGATGCCTCCACAACCTCATCCAAAAAGTACTTCTGCGGGGACACCTGCCCGGAACCCGTTCAACCTGGGCCTGACACCGTCCTGGTTATGAATTGCTGTGGCCCAAGATCAGCTTTTCAAAATACCTGACACATCTTAAATATCCTTCTCTTTCTCAACTTAAAAAATTCCCTCTTGGGGCAAGTGTTTGGCACGGCAATTACAACTCCACTAGGGGGGCCAGCGCCCCATGTTAGAGTTCCTGGCTCAAGTCCCAGCTCCGTGCCCAATCCAGCTTCCTGCTAACGTGTGCCCTGATAGGAAGCAGCGATGGCTCCCTGGGTCTCTGGCACTTACAACTGTGTACAGACTCCTCACTTTGGCCTGGTCCACCCACTGTTATTGCAGGGATTTGCAGAGATAGATCTCTCTGTCTTTCTCTCTGCTTTTAAGTAAATCCATTTAAAACAAAAAACTTTCCTTTTTGAGTCTGCTCAGAGTTTGCTACGGCACGTGTATTCCTATTGCAATACTCTGCTGTGCTCAAGTAAATATCATCCCTTTTTGAGAATCTCTCTCATTGTCTTTTTTGAGATTGATAATTACTCCTGAATGTGAGTGAAGAGTAGGAAATGTAGGTCATTTTCAGTGACACATGCTATGGATGCTGTGTGTCATCTGAGTATGAATTTGATTTTCTTCCAGGAGTTGCCACCCATCAGAGGCCTTCGTTTGGGAATAGATTTATTAAGATGTAATTCACATACCTTGTAATTCACCCACTTAAATTATACAATTCCATGATTTTTAGTTGTATTCAGAATTAAGTCATGACCACATGAATTTTAGAATATTTTTGTAACCCCCCCCCCCAAATCCCCATAGCCCTTAGTCCTCACCTGCTAATCTCCTATCAGTGCCTGCCACCCTTGCCCCACCCCCAGTGCTAGCCCTAGCAACTACTGATCCACTTTCTCTATATAGAGATTTGCCTGTTCTGGGCATTTCATAAGGACAGAATCATTCAGTGTATGGATAGATGCCACTCACCAGTGATGGACATTTAGCTGGCTTCCCCTTGGGGCTGTTCTACGAATGATGTTGCTATGAACATCCATGGACAACTTTTTGAGTGGATACATGTTTACGTTTCACTTGAGCACATACCTAGGATTGGTATCGCTGGCTAACATGGGGACTTTAAGTTTAAATCTTCAAGGAATTGCCCAACTTATTTTCCAAAGTGACTATGCTAATTCCCATAGCCAATGAATGAGAGTTCTGATTTCTCAGTCCTCAGTATGGTGGGTAGCAGGGCCACGTGGTTTTGATGTGCACTTTCCTGATAACTAATGACATTCAGCATCTTTTCAGGTACTTTTTGCATATCTACAGAGAAATGTCTATTCAGGTCTTTGGCTCATTTTTGAATTGGGTTGCCTTTTTTTTTTTTTTTTTGAAAAGTTTGCATCTTGAGTAACTATAAATGCAGTTTAAATCTCAACCACAATAGGGAGAGGTTGGGTCCCTCCAATTATACGCGTCTCTCCAGGAAACAAGAAACCATTCTAGGAGAGCATCAGTCCCTAAACTTGTGGTTCTTGATACTGTCTTTGAGACTCTAGTGAAAATTATGAACTCTCTCCCCAGAAAAATGCACACAAAAACTTGTATGTATTTTGCTTTTAATATTAGTAAGTGCTTGGGCCTTCCACCATCCAACCATTGCCTTGATTAGGTTCTTTCCTTTCATAAAAGGAAGCGAAACCTACTTCTGCTTTGATGATTGTCAAACCAGTGAGCCTGACCAGTAAGGGCAACATACAATTTCCAAATTTCAGGTTCCCACAGAGAAAAATGGTGTGACCAGCGTTGTCCAAGTTATCAGTTGCGCTGTGATGTTGCACAGTTGCACAGTTACTCTGTGCTGGCTTTCACAGAGGGCTGCTTTGCAGGCCTGCAGGCCTCGGTCCTCTGGGCCATCCCCTTTGGCTGAGCCAGGCCGGTGCCTAATGTCATGTGTGGGTCCCTTCCCATGCATGACTCCGTTCAGTCTTCTACCACCCCCCACTGAGGCAGATTGTAAGGAAGCCGTGCTGATTCCTTTATAATCAATTATGAAAATGTCGTGGGCCTCTCCTGATGCTCACCTGCCTTACCAGAAGCTTACACACACACCTAGAAAAAGCTTTGTGTCTCAAATCTGCAGTCTGATCGTGCAGATACCATACAGCATTTTGTTTTTCCTTCTCTGCTTTTGCCACTAAATAGCTCACAGGTGACTTTGCTGCCTGCCTCGGGCATTGGGACTGGGCAAGCAGCTGCATCTGTGAAGCAAAGTGATGGCTTTCATTTTCCTTTGCCCAAATCAGCTATTTGTTCCTTCTTGTATTCTTTACTTTTTAATTTTTTTTTAAAAAAATTATTTATTTGAAAGACAGAGAGAGGAGAGAGGAGAGAGAGAGAGAGGTCTTCCATCTGCTGGTTCACTCCCCAATCGGCCGCAATGGCCAGAGCTACACCAATCCAAAGCCAGGAGCCAGGAGCTCCCATACAGGTGCAGGGGCCCAAGGACTTGAGCCATCTTCTACAGCTATCCCAGGCCATAGCAGAGAGCTGGATCTGAAGTGAAGCAGCCAGGCCTCAAATCGGTGCCTATGTGGGATGCCAGCATTGCAGGCGGCAGCTTTACCAGCTATGCCACAGTGCTGGCCCTTTCTTCTTGTTTTCTTTACTTTCTAATTTTTTGAGAGGAAGGGAGGGAGGACATGGTTGATGGGTGGGAGGGAGAAGAGGAGGGGAAGGGAGAGGGAGAGAGAGAGCTCTTTCATCTGCTGATTCACTACAATAGCCAGGGCTGGGTCAACGCCAAAGCTGGGGCCAGGAACCCAATCCAGGTCTCCCATATGGGAAGCATTAACCCAATTTCTTGAGCCACTACCACTGCCTCCCAGGGTCTGCATTAGCAGAACTCAGCTACTTGGATGTGTTACACAAGCACCCTCCACAGGGACTGCTCCTGCCTTGTGTTGTGTTTCACTGCGTTTTTGCATGCTATTTGAAAGTGTTTCTGGAACAAGGTGTTTTTTTTAAACCTTTGTCATTGTGCACTTGGGCACTGTTCATGAAAACTGTTTGCTGAACCAAAGTCCTCAATGACATACAGCTCATTTTCTATCTCTTTTTGTCTCGAGGAAGTTTTAGGTACTGTGCTCAGGAGTGTTTGTAAAGGGAGAATTAACACCCGTAGTTCCCAGGTGTTCTGTGTGTCTGAGCCGGGAGGTACCCTTTGAAGATACAGACATCACAGAACATGGTGGTGCAGTTTTTTGTTTGTTTGTTTGTTTTTGTTTTTGTTTTTGTTTTTTTCCTATTCAACAAGATATTTCCCTAGCATGCCAGGCATTGCTCCAACTGCTTTACAAATGCTAACTATGAATTCAGTAATTTATTTCCATTGCCCACAATTTACCAGTGTGAAAACCGAGGAATGGAGAGGTTAATGAATTTGTCCAAAGTCACAAGGCTAATTTAAAGCGGCAGAGCCAGGACCATGCTCCGTCTTTAGGCTCTGTTAGCACGGGGGCCTTGGGACCGCTTTCTAACCACTTACACCCTCCTGGTAAAATGGGAACAATGATACTCTGCCCCCTGGGCCTGTTGGGATCAAGTGAGGCTTCGCAGGAAGGTGGTGTCCAGTCCACAGTGAGACCTCAACTTTGTCCCCTTCACCTAAGATCTGCAGAGGAATCCAGAGCATAAAAAAAAAAAAAAAACCATAAGGAATCCAAGACAGGAGAAATCTGATAACCACTCAAGCAAACAGTGCTTGTAAACCTCAGACATAGACTGCAGGCCTCTTACCTTTTTGTCTCATTGGGATACCCTGATTACTGAGAGATTTTGTGTCAGGAAGTTTCTTAACAAATTTAGTTTTGATGTTTTAATATTCAGCATACCTTTCTATCTCCAAATGAAGATAATCAAATGACCTGACGAATTTCTACCATCAATGAACCACAACTTTAAAAACCAATGTATGGGGCCGACGCTGTGGCACAGTAGGTTAATCCTCTGCCTGCAGTGCTGGCTCCCATGTGGGCGCTGGTTCTGGTCCCGGTTATTCCTCTTCCAGTCCAGCTCTCTGCTAGAGCCTGGGAAAGCAGTAGAAGATGGCCCAATGCTTGGGCCCCTGCACCCGTGTAGGAGGCATGGAGGAAGCTTCTGGCTCCTGGCTTCAGATCAGCTCAACTCTGGCCATTGTGGCCATCTGGGGAGTGAACCAGCGGGTGGAAGACCTCTCTCTACCTCTGTCTATAACTCTATCTCTTAAATAAATAAAATCTTTTAAAAAAGGAAATACATAATGGCACGTGATTACGTCAGTTTTTCCAGTCTCCAGGGTCTCTCATTGTCCTTCTAATCAATACTAGCATAACAGTTTCAGAAGCAAGGGTTGCAACCTACAGACTTTAACCTGAACCTCATTACCCTAAGAGCCAGAAGCCCTCATATCAATCCATACAGGCACAGCACTTTCTTTTTTTTTTTTTTTTAAAGAATTTATTTATTTATTGGAAGAGTTACAGAGAGAGAGAAACAGGGTGACCTTCCATGTGCTGGTTCACTCCCCCAGACAGCTGCAATGGCTAGCACTGGGCCAGATGGAAGTCAGGAGCCAGGAGCTTCATCCAGGTCTCCTACATCAGTGGCAGGGACCCAAACACTTGGGCCTTCTTCCACTTCTTTCCCAGGCCATTAGCAGGGAGCTGGATTGGAAGTGGAGTAGCTGGCCCTTGGACCAGCACCCATATGGGATGTCAGGACTGCAGGTGGCTTTACCCACTACACCACGGTGCTGGCCCCCAGGTACAGTTCTTTCAGAGTCTGCAAAGCCCTTTCAGAAATCTATGTTCAATAAAAAACCACTAGGTGTTATCCATGCTTTACAGGGAATTGTAACCAAGCCCAGAGTGGCCATGATTCTCATCCATCCAGTGCTTGCTTTGTATCTACTACGGGTACCCAGCCCGGAGAGACAGATCAAAGAGGACAGGACAGTCCGGTCAGTGCCTTGAGGGGCACACATGGGGTGCTGTGAGAGCAATGAGGGGAAATCCCTGAGTCTGAGGGCTGGGGGCAGGCGGGGAGGGGAAGCTTTGCCAGGCAAGATAGTGAAGCAAATGGGGATCCCAGGGGCACCTGGCAGGCAGACCCAAAGGACAGCCGAGTGCAACAGCACAGAGGAAACAACGCGGTGCAAATGAGGAAGTGCCGCAGGTTTTCCCAGCAGGTTCTCTGTCTCACAGACATGAAGAATTGTTCTGGAGAACAAAGACAAGCACCCCACTACAAGCTCCGCTTGCAGAATGGGCCACACCAACGATGTAGGGTGAGCGGGAAGGACGATTACTGAGAGAAGCAGAAAAAGTACCCAGCAGTCAGGAGGGCTCCTGCAAGGAGGCTGCAACTGTTGAGGGCTGAGGGGCTGGGGGATTTTAAGGACCATGCAGAGGGCATTCCTGAGATGAGCTGTATAAGTTGATGAAACATTTAATGTGAACCAATCAGGGAGCTGGAAGAGACTGATTGGCCCAGGAGAGATGTAAATGAGGCATTGAGAAGTCTCCAATCATGGAAGCAGGTTGCTTAAGTGAGGGATAGAGGTGTAAAAAAGGGGACTGAGAAGTGACCATTTTGATTGAGCTAAATTAAATCACCAATCACATAAGTCCTTTACAGAAACTTGTTGTCTGATGTCTCTTAGGTCCTCCAAGACTCATCTCCAGACGGCAGGGAGGTGCTGCCCTGGTCCCGTCTACCTGGCCTGGATTCAGTCTCCCTGTCAGAGGAATTTTATCCACTGCCTTGACTTCTGAGCACCGCCTAAGTGTGGGGCTTGTGCTAGTTGATCAGGCTCCCAGCATGCACCGCACAGGCAAAGCCCTTGCCTTTAAGGAGTCTGAAACAGACATAGAATCTCAGTCAGGGGGCCGGCGCAGCGGGTTAACACCCTGGCCTGAAGAGCTGGCATCCCATATGGGCGCCAGTTCTAGTCTCGGCTGCTCCTCTTCCGATCCAGCTCTCTGCTGTGGCCTGGGAAAGCAGTAGATGATGGCCCAAGTCCTTGGGCCCCTGCACCCGTGTGGGAGACCTGGAAGAAGCTCCTGGCTCCTGGCTTCAGATCGGTACAGCTCCGGCCGTTGCGGCCAACTGGAGAGTGAACCATAGGATGGAAGACCATGCTCTCTGCCTCTCCTCTCTCTGTGTAAGTCTTTCGAATAAACACATCTTTAAAAAAAAAATCTCAGTCAAGTTAAAATGTGGATAGTGGCACATACAATGGAGGACGTGACTCAGGGGACTAAGCTAGAGGAACCAGAAGCAGGTCTGGTTGCAGCAGGAAAGGGCTGGAGCATGCCAGGCACAGGTGAGGTGAGAGAAGAGGACTCCAAGTACACAGCAGGCGAGAGTCCCTGACGTAGTTTGCTCGCTGCAAACAAGAGCCAGCACAGGCGGGGCACAGGGAAGATGGTGCAAGGAGTGGCGTGCGCAGACTCCGATTACAGAGGCCCGCAGGCCGTGACAGCTCATTTGGAGTTTGTTCTGAGTGCCTAAGACACCTCGCAAGGGCTCTGAGGGAGGCAGCACGGCCACAGCTTCAGTTACAGTTCTAAAGGGTAACTCTTGGTGCCAGGTACTGGGGACACCAGCGAGGATATTGCTAGAAGCTGGGTGACAGACTGCCACAGTTTGGGTTGTGGTGGAGACAAATGAATGGATCTGAGACAGATCTGGAGGCAGAGTGGATTGGGTGTGGAGACAACATCAAGGAGTGGCAGACATGATGTGATGTCCCAAGATGGAACCTCAGCAAGAGAGAACGTTGAGTCCCAGCTGCTCCACTTCTGATTCAGCTCTCTGCTATGGCCTGGGAAAGCAGTAGAAGATGGCCCAAGTCCTTGGGCCCCTGCACCCTCATGGGAGACCTGGAGGAGGCTCCTGGCTCCAGATTGACACAGCTCCAGCCATGGCAGCCATCTGGGAAGTGAACCAGTGGTTGGAAGACTTCTCTCTCTCTCTGCCTCTCCTTCTCTCTCTGTGTAACTCTTCCAAGTAAATAAAAAAAAAAAAAAAACACAGGGGCCCTATGACGTGAAGTTAGAAGAGGAAAAGCCAGCAACGGAGAATGACATGGAGTAGACAGTACGGTGGAGGGGAAACCAGGAGCCAAGAGAGGAGGAGAGTGGGGTCAGCTGTGCCAAATGATGCTCGGAGACTAGTCAGGCCACTGGGGAGCTGGACAGCTACAGGCAGCCTCGTGGTGGGGAGGACGGCGGGGTTCAGGAGGGTTAGGGAGCGAAGAACTGCACGCAGTCACTGCAGACAACTCCTTCCAGAAACGCCTGCATGAAGGGGAGCAAACACAGGACTTCAACAAGTTCATGGGGAAATGCAGTCAAAGGTGAGTTCACTGGGGTACAAAAAGTTTTGAAATCCATGCTTTTCAGAACAGCCATTTTCCATGAATGTTTTCATATAGAAGCAAACAGGACTGAGGGGTTGGGCTGGCACTGTGGCATAGGTTAAGGCGCCGCCTACAGTGCTGGCATCCCATCTGCCCACTGGTTGCTGCACCTCCGATCCAGCTCCCTGCTGATGTGGCTGGGAAAGAAGCAGAGGATGGCCTGGATCCTTGGTTTCCTGCACCCACCTGGGAGACCTGGAAGCTCCTGGCTCCTGCCTTTGGCCTGGCCTGGCCCCGGCCATTACAGCCATTTGGAAGTGAACCACAGGATGGAAGATCGAACTCTCTTTCCTTTTCAAATAAATCTTAAAAACAGATGGAGGGTTTGCTTGAAAGGAAGGAGAACTAACAGGATGCTTATATCCTGACGGAAAGACCCATGGGAGAGGGGAGAGCTGCAGCAGCAATGCTGTTGGGAAGACAAACCCACCACCCTCCAGCTTCTCACCTCTGGCACAGGCCAATTCCTTTGCTCCATTATCTCCCATGATTCTCAGACAGCGGCACCCTCCAGGGCCCTGGGCCCAGCATCCTGCTCTTGTCTCTCTACACGTCCTCCCTGGTATCTTACCAACCCCACTGTTTCAAACGCCCTCCCAGATCGCTGTCCCGTCGACCTCTCCTCAGCAGTGCTCAGGCTGCAGATTCTCACCGAGAGCTCCGCGGGCATCAGCACTAAGCCAGCCCTTCCCTCCCTGCCTCTCTTCTACCCGAGTTTTGAACCAGACAGGGCTCCACAACCAGCCCAAGGGGCCAGCAAGCGGCAAAGCCAATATATGAACACAGGTCGGCCTGGCTCTTAAACACAAGCTCCACTACACTTCCCTTAAAGGAAGTTCCTGTAGTTACTTCTTTTTAAAACACATCACATTATGGGCACCGGGTTCTAGTTCCGGCAGCCCCTTTTCCAGTCCAGCTCTCTGCTGTGGCCAGGGAGGGCAGTGGAGGATGGCCCAAGTGTTTGGGCTCCTGCACCCGCAGGGGAGACCAGGAGAAGCACCTGGCTCCTGGCTTTGGATCAGCGCAGTGCTGGCTGTAGCGGCCATTTGGGGAGTGAACCAACGGAAGGAAGACCTTTCTGCCTCTCTCTGTATAACTCTACCTAATAAGAAAAAAAAAAAAACACATCACAGAAATCTTTATTAGTACAAGCTATCCACACTGAAGTCGGCAAGAGAAAGTATCGCTTTGTGATAATAAATATTCGTATAAGAAAAAAGTCTGCAAAGTGGTTTATTTTCACAAGTTATTGCTGGAAGACGTCCTCCAAACAAACCAGTGCACTGTAAATGTCTGAGGCAGTTTTCTCGACTTCATCGCCCCCGCTTTAGTACGTGTTATCTGTAAAAATTATGTTTGTTTTAAAGAGCTGCTAGTCGAGATGACGAACTCTCGGGTGTTGTTTATGCGTGCTCGTTTCTGACTTTCTCGGAGGCTACACTCGGGTTGTGAACTGCCTCACTGTCTTTTCACTCTCTCTTTTTAGTTCTTCAATGTGCGCATCCAGTCGCTCTAGAATATGATGAGACCGCAGCTCCTCCTCTTCCAAAAACCGGGTAGCTATCGAACCAAGGGGGGACACAGGCAGAGAAGACTACAAGACAAGCAAATTTTGATGTGTATAAGTACAGTATTACATCTCCACGACACATAATTCATGATACTTCCTAACTAGCAATATCAAAAGGGGATTATTTTTCCTCTAAAGAAATCTTTGTTTTCAATGACGACAACGTCAGTAAAACAAAAAATCCATAGAGATCTTCCCCTTCCTGCCCCAAGGTGTGTCACTACTAAGTCTCATCTAAGTACGAGTAGAAGGTACTAATCCTTGGTCTGAGACTGTCAGCTTAGACTAGTACAGGGGAGCATCTCTGATTCCAAAGCCCAGCATTTGAAATGCTCTGAAACTCTGAGCACCAGTCTGATGCCACAAGTGGGAACTGACACAGCTGACCTCACGTGATGTCACAGTTAAAACACAGGTGCACTAAAAAACACTTTGTAAGATTACCTTCAAATTACATAAAGTGTGTATGAATTCTATCAACATAGGTCCCAACTCCAAGATAGCTCATGTACGTATGTAAAAATATTCCAAAACTTAAAAAAAAAAGTGCAAAACACTCTGGTCCCCAGCATTCTGGATAAGGATACTCAATCTGTATATCCTCCTACACCCCAGAAGAGAATATGTCTATGATGTAAAACTCATTTTAAATATGAATGCTATTTTCATTTTAAAGCACAGAAAAACTACCAATAATAAATCAGATGCCAGTTAAAATCAGTTATTTTTTTCTCTTCCAAAATTCCAGTCCACAGTCCCGTCTGAAATATTTGGGGCCACTGGAGTTCCAGAGGTCAGATTTTCTAAAGGTAATACAGGACATACACCGTATGCACTGCTCCTCGTCCACAGCAGGTGTGCTCTGAGGTGTCCTTGGACACTGAGTTGCAACGGACACAATCGTGCCCTCAGAGGAAATACACACACACACATACACAGAGTTTACAATGCTAAATCATAAACACAACTCGCCCTAGTCTGCGTTCTTTATTTTACAAAAGAGAAATAAGGTCCGAAGCACTAAGCGGCTCTCCCACTAACCAGGCTGGAGCTGGCGTTCAGGCGCCCGCCCGCCCACCCGGACCTGAGCTGCAGGTGCTACACCGTGCCAGCCCTGCCAGCACCGCCTTGCTGGACCTCAGCTGGCGACTCAGGTCTTTGGCCGCCCTGTGCATGTCCATAGGGGACTGCAGAAGTGCCACTGAGAGCCATGTGGTGATTACAATTAAAGTGCAAGGATTAGGCTGATTCATAGACGTAGAATCTACATGAGGGCCAACTGTACTCCCCTCGTGGAGCCCAAGGTGACACCCCACAACCAGCAGAGCAAAGCCGTGTGGACACACAAACGGGTAGGTCTACACACACAAGAGTGCCTCAGAAAGTCTGTGGGAAAGTGAAAGCAAGACTTTATTTTGCTGTGGAAAATTGTGAAATCCACGCAAAATTTTCTCACAAAACACATTTTCCATGCACTTCTTGAAGATGCCCTGTATGCATGATTTCAATTTTTAATTTTTTCAAAATTCCAAAATAATCTCATCGTTTAATTCTACTTTTGCACAAACTTTTTGAAGTACCCTTATCATATCAGCTCGAGTCAAGGAGGTTTTGGTGCCAAAAAAGTTTTGCTGTCAAACTCAGGAAAGAAGTTAGTTTTCAGGGCTTTTCTTGGATTTCAGTATTATATTGAACTGAATGGGGGCTTAATTTCAAAACTAAAAGACCACCTTTACTTGGGCCTGTTGCCCGTTAAAAAGCCAAAATACCAAACTTTTACCGAGGCCGGACCACAGCTGATGACAGGAAATGAGCGGCCCGAGGCAAGTGCTTCAGGGAGAAGGCAGGCGCGGCAGAGTCTGCAGCCCGTCCTCTGCAGCCCGTCCTCTGCAGCCCGCCCTCTGCAGCCCGTCCTCTGCAGCCCGTCCTCTGCAGCCCGTCCTCTGCAGCCCGCCCTCTGCAGCCCGTCCTCTGCAGCCCGTCGGCACCTCCAGCACCAGGTCATGCAGTGGGCCCCGCCAGGCCCTGCACTCGTGGGACGCACCCCTCCTCCACCCCCACCCCCAGCCAGCCGTGTGCCCTGGACTACCTTCCTAGAACCAAGCCTTCTAGCACAAAATTGACCTTCTCTGAAGAAGGAAGGGCACTTCCAATTGGGACTAAAGACAAATGAATCCCTATAATTTCCGTCTGTATCTTAGACTGGTATGTATTTTTGAAGTCTTGGCCGAATGCGTCTTCACAAGCAAAGCCATCAAGACAGCATGGAGACACCTGAGAATGGCAAGATGCACTTAAGGGAGAGAGCCAGAGAGGGAAACAAAGAAAAACCAAACCAGAAAACCACACTGGCTTCAATAAATAAACCAACAGAGAAAGGAAATGGATCTAAGTAAACTAAAAAACTAGTCAGACTGGAAAGTTTCCATACCGAAGACAGAAACTCTTCTTGGTCATTCATACTCTCAGATACACTGTCAGAAAAGTTGGCTTCATTCATATCTAGCGTGGAAGGCAAAGAGTGAGTCTGACACAGAAAGTAAGAAGGCAAAGAGACGGTGGAGCTGCAAGGGCTGATCGGAGAAGTCAGGGGGCTGAGGACCCTGGCCAGGGGCTCAGGACTGTCCGCCGGCTGTCCTCGGGGGGGATGCAGACCTGCTTTGTAGTGCTCAGCCTTTGCCTCACCAGGCCTGCGCTGGCTGTGGGTTGGCCTGGAGAGCGGATTAGAAAACAAGACAAATAAAATACAACATGAGCACCCACTCCGCCAGAGGTTCTGGACATCTAACCCCCACTGCGAGCCCCTGCGGGCCCCTGCCCTCACACAGTCCACGCTTCCAGAGAAATCCAGTGCGGCTTGTGCTGCGACAAGGGAAGTGCTGTGCACACAGGCAGGGACCCAACCTCACCAGGCAGTGGAGGTGAGGGTTGCAGAAGAGGTAAGGCGGGGCTGAGGGTGGCAGCAAAGCCTTCTGGTAGACAAACATGTGAGTTACACAGTATAAGCTATAATCGGGCAGCTTTTCATTGCATGCTTACTTTTTAGGGCAACAGCCTATAACAAAGTGACCACAAGTCCAGAGGAAGCTTTAATTCTACTCCTTCTGGGGGCAAGTGGGCTTGAGGAGCTGGAAGGCAGCACGAGGAGACTCGGGAACACAGCCGCTGTGTACACCCACAGCCAGAGTGCACAAAACTAAGGCTTTCATGAAGTGCTCTGCCACCTCCCCCTGGCTCTTTTTAACCTGATTGTGGCTTTCCTTGTGCACACGGTCCTGCAGAATTCAAGTCCTTTCATGTCTCCAAGTCAGACATTATTCTCAAATAATTTATTAATAAAAATTATTAATAATAAAAATTATTCTCAAATAAATATTCTCAAATAAAAAAGATGAGAATTATAGTGCAACAGGACACATTCGAAATCATCCTTAAGGGTGGGCATTTAGCCCAGAGGTTAAGACACGGGTTTGACAAGCACGACCCATGCTGGAGTGCCTGGGTTCAGGTCCCAGCTATGCTCCTGATTCCAGCTTGTCGCCAGTGCCTACTCCAAGAGGTAGCAGGAGACGGTTTAAGTTCTTGGGTAACCCTGTTAACATGGGAGACCTGGACTGAATTCCTGGCTCCTAGCTTCAGCCTCACCCAGTCCCCACTGGGTGGAGTGAACCTGTGAATGGGAGATGTCTCTATCTCTGTTTCTCTTTCAAACAAAAAGCAAATTTAATCAATCAATAAATACATAAATAACTCTCAACAAATTTTACTTGAACTCCGTTTCCTTGAACTCAGTTGTTCTGCTCTGTGTTGGTTTGAAAGTTCTGTCAATTTTTTTTTTGCACATCTGAGTAGAAATCTCCAGCTGAGATTTGGTATCCAACAAATCTTTCTGTAGTTGCTGATTTTCGGACACTAATTTATTTAATGCATCAATATAATTCTCCTGAAGATCTGCTAGTGAGATCTCTTTTGCCTGATAAAAAAGAATACTAGAGTCACTTAATTTGTACAAGAATACATGTGATCTGTGATATTGCTGGTGGAAAAACTTTTTTTTATAGTTCCAACTAATCTATGGCTTTACTTTAGCAAAACTGAAGATTTTTTTTTTTTTAGTCCTCTTGAAACCAAGAGAAAAATGGTTCCATTTCTTGGTGTAACTGGACTAGGAGGCTGGAAGCACAGTGAGCTTCCTTATGTGCCAAAGCACACCCAAGGTGCAGGAGGAGGAGGAGGCTGGGAGCAGGGAGGCTGTGGGTGAGAGCAGAAACAGAAGACAGGAGCCAGCAGCCTGGTCCTTCTGACCAGCCCAGGATACCCAGCAAGAAAACCCAGACACCTACTTCAAATAAAAAGATTGTCTTAATAAACCACTTTTTATATTTTTAAATTTGAAAAGCAGAGAGACAAAGAGAGAGAGAGAGAGATCTGAATAAAGTTTCTGACAAGGAATTCTGGCTGAGAGGATTAAATAAATACTCCTTGTTGTTAAATGCTTTTACATAACTTTGGCATCTGTTCTTACATGTACATTTGGATAAAGCAGAACTCAAGTACAAGGGCACTTTAAAAATTTCATGGAAAATGGTATAAAGAAGTAAGTTTGTAGGGTGACGTTTGGCCTGGTGGTTGGGATGCCCATGTCTCATATCAGGAGGCCTGGGTTTGATGCCTGGCTCCCTGGCTTCTGATTCCAGCTTCCTGCTGGCAGAGCCTCCAGGACGTGGTGGCTGGGTTCCTGCTGCCCACACTGGAAACTTGGAATGAGCTCCCAGGCTCCCAGCTTCAGCCCCTCTCTGCCACTGCAGGAATGTTGGGGGTGGGGGGAGCTGGGGTATGTGGACTGGTTGATGGGAGCTCTCTCATTCCCTGGGTGTGTGTGTGTGTGTGTGTGTGTGTATCTCTGCTTTTCAAATCAGTAGATTTTCTAAAGATAAGTTTATTTCAGTGCAAAAAATTTTGAAATCCATGCAGTTTTCTTGTAATGCCTATTTTCCATGAACTTTTTGAAGGTCCTCTGTATATGGCAGGACTTACTGCCCTGGTCTGCTCTTAATTCTGTGACCATAAATTATATTGTTCTTCAATTCTAGGTAGTTCCTGGTAAAACAGTACCTGAAAAAATGGTAGACTGGGCCATTTTTTTCTAATGACAAAATGTTTTAGCTAGCATTCTGCAAAATTATGGTGATCTTTGGAGTTTAATGTGCTGTTTAGCTTGCTCCTTTCTGCAAAAAATCTAAGAAGAGTAAGATGGTCAAGAGGGGCCTGGAAAACAGCTTGCCCAACAAGAATATAAACTCTAAAATACACCTGTTAACACCCTGTTTACTAGCAAAGTTAATGAACCAGAGACTTTTCAAACAAGCCGGCACCAAGGCGGGGTCTCAGAGAAGGGCAAACTGCCACCCATGGTTAAAAAACGGCCAATAATTTACAGGAGCTGTGGCTTTCATTATGAAGAGCATTAGAGAACTAATTCAAATAGATACTTCAACCCAACATTCATTTGTAAAAGTAATTCTCCCTCCCAAGGTGGTAAAAGGCAAAAGAGCACTTTCTAATAATAAATCTTATTAACATGTATAACACATTCACCCTGTGCATGACCTCAAAACCAGAGTGTGTTTAAATGGCTTACAGGCTTCTCAGCAGCCAGAGTCTGAGGCATGACACCATTTAAAACACACTTTTAAAACAGACAGTGCCTGCCTCTGCCAGGTACCTTTTAAAGGTGTCTCCAAGTTGTTCTTTTATTAACAGCCCTTACAGACTGATGAACGTGAAAGGTAAAAACTGGGTAGCAAGGCCATGTCAGATGGAGGTCTTCAGGGGAAATTCAGCTGAGCGGAAATCTCTGCTCACAGCCTGGCTTACGTTCCCCTGAGGGTCCCCAACTCTCTTACATAAGATTCCCTCGGGAACATACTGACAAACCCTAAGCCTGTGGAGGATTCTGGAGAGTAAGTCAGGTTAGTTCTTGGATTTCTCCACTACTAACTTATTAGTGGCTTTATCAGGACATAGAAAATCATCCATCCATCCATCAATCCATCACCCATCTTTGCCCTTACAAAATGTCTAGCTGTTGTCTCCTCCTGTTTTTTCCACCCTTGTGGGATGGAATTTTAAAAAGTAAAAATTCCTCTTATTACAGTTTTAGAGGGATTTGGAAAAGCAGCACAATAAAATGAGTATTTTTATCTGCTGTCTTAAAGAATAGAATCATATTTTATAGAATGAATCCCAAATCAGCCAATAAACACTTGGATATTGCAAACACTTCAATAAGCTACACATTCACTCCTACAGACTGCAAACTGATAAGGGCACTCTGCGAGGAACGCAGCAGTGACCAGTCTGCCCGTACTGCTAAGCTGTCCTCCACAAGGGCTGGGTCAACTCACTTTCTCCTACAGTGGAGGAGAGAGCCTGTTGCCCCACCTCCTTGCTAACACAGGCTGGTATTTATCATCATCATCAGGGAGGCTGAACAGCTTTCCTTGTTCACCAGGTATTTCCATCTTCTACGAATAACCAATGTCCTTTGCCCATTTTTCTAGTGGATTCTCTCTTTCTTATTGTCTTTCTAGGGAACCCTATACTCACATATTAATATCTTATATTAACTTTCTGTCAGTTTATAGATTGTTTTTTCCCTATTATGTCTTTTTGTATGGGATCTTCTGCTGTCCAGAAATTTTACATGTTTATGCTTTAAAATCTTTATGGCTTGAAATTAAAGGACCTTACCCTTATAAAAAATTATACAGGGGCTGCTGCTGTGACGTAGTGGGCTAAGCCTCAACCTGCAGTGCCAGTTCAAGTCCTGGCTGCTCCACTTCTGATCCAGCTCTCTGCTATGGCCTGGGAAAGCAGTAGAAGATGCCCTAAGTGCTTGGGCCCCAGCACCCGAGTAGGAGACCCGGAAGAAGCTCCCGGTTCCTGGCATTGGAGCTGCTCAGCTCCAGCCGTTGCAGCCATCTGGGGAGTGAACCAACGGATGGAAGCCCTTTTTCTCTACCTCTCTGTGTCTGTAATGCTATCTTTCAAATTAAAAAAAAAAAATTATACAAATAATCTTCCATTTTTCCAGCTGAAATAAAGTACTCTTGTAGCCTTGTGGAATTTCTTCCCTCTAGCCACAATCTGACTATGAAATTAGGATTAATTGGGAGCAAACAGGGAGCACTGTGTCCCTATTTACCCTTTTGGAGACATACACTCTGAAGTACAAAAAAAAGGAATTTCTATAATCTTCAGAAATTTGACCCAAACCATGTGGGGAAATGGGTCTGAGCAGATGAGTCACTTTGCAAATTCTAAGAATCCTGTAAGGGATTTAAAAAGCATCGCACTGCTCAGCACTCCCGTGGCTGCTCCTGTCCGCCCACTGCCCAGACATCCGCATGCTCCTCGCTAGACCACAGCGCTTCTCACCGAGAACCCTGGCCTGTCTACCCTCCTAAACGCCGCAAGCAGGAAGATCCAAGTGAACTCTGTCTTGTAGAAACATAACTAAAACTAAACTATTCCAAAGATGACCTGCTTTAGAGAAGATATCATAATTACAACTGTAACAATCGGCATTTCTCACTCACGTGCTAAGCCCTAATTCTCTCTACCTATGTCCTCTCTTCCCAGAACACAGACTATGCGGTAGATGCTTCCTGCTCCTGGAGAGCACAGCCATATTGTGCTAACCTCCTTTACTGTTCTGACTTCGTTTTATTTGAGAAACAGTCTTCAAAAGGATCACTCTACCCGTTTAATCTTAATTCTCTCTTCATTACATCATTATTTACAATGTGATGTTTTTAAAGGCTTACAGAGTAGAAAATGTAAGATTCTATTCATGTACCTCATGTAAGCCCAATTCCAATTTCATTACTGTTTCAGAAAGACGACGATTTTCTAACTTGAGTGACTCCAGCTGACTCAAAATCTCCTGAAAAGGGAAAAAGAGGACAACAATTTTTTTACATGCAACAAATAAAAAAAATGCAACTTACAAAATTTTTCCATGTTATTTTCATTAGGCTAACTTAAAGTCTGCATTTGTACTTAGATATATAAATACGTCCTAAAAATATACTTTACTTTAAAGGTGAATTAAAAGGCATGTAATTCAAACAAAGCAGCAGAGCTTCAGCGTTCTGGCAAGTCCCCCCCACCCCCCACGCTGGCCTCACATTTAGCTCCGCCCACAACACCAGGTGGAACTGCTCTTTCAGAAAATGGTGACCGAGCTCCGTCTTCATTCTCTCTAACCTTCCGGCCTGACCACTCCTGCCTTCCTTCAGCTTCCTTCCCCCTTGGCAAAAAGTATCCGCTTTCTTTCCTCACTGCTACTTCTTTTCAACTCCACTCCAACATCTTCTTCAACAAAAATGAGAAGTATCCTAAATTTAGTCCAAGTCGCTGCTCTTCACAGTCAATGCTTTCTCATCATAATCTCCGAGTCTCTCAGGCGATTTCAAATGCCAGCTTCATGCAAGGATTCCCACAACTAAATGCCAGCCCTAATTTAAACTTGAACTCCACGTCTTCTGTGGAACTGACCACTAGATATTTCCATACAAAAATTCCACCCTTTATCTTAAACCACATGTGTCAAACCAATGTCCTCTCCACAGTTTCCTATTGCGTGTACTGTCAAATTCAACACCTTCAGGCCGGCGCCGCGGCTCACTAGGCTAATCCTCTGCCTTGCGGCGCCAGCACACCAGATTCTAGTCCTGGTCAGGGTGCCGGATTCTGTCCCGGTTGCCTCTCTTCCAGGCCAGCTCTCTGCTGTGGCCCGGGAGTGCAGTGGAGGAAGGCCCAAGTCCTTGGGCCCTGCACCCCATGGGAGACCAGGAAAAGCACCTGGCTCCTGCCATCGGATCAGCGCGGTGCACCAGCCGCGACAGCCATTGGAGGGTGAACCAACGGCAAAGGAAGACCTTTCTCTCTGTCTCTCTCTCTCACTGTCCA